AGAATGGATTTCTTTTTACTATACCTAATATATATGTAATGAAAATGTAATAAATATTATTATCTGAAACAAGGTCTAATAAAAATTACAATATGAGGTTCTATTAGTGAAAAAGTAGTCATGAAAAAGAAGTCATTTAAAATCAAGTTTTCTTCCATGCCACAGCAAGCGATTACAAGAAGCTTTATTTCATGGAATTTTAAGTAAATTATATGTCACTTCTGACTTTCTATTTCATTAAGAGAAAAGATGAGTGCTTTGGATCGATTTACATATGATACATGATTATTAATATGATATTTAATCGTAGGGATATTAGTAATAACAAATCAGATTCTACATGAATTTCAGATTCAGTTCCGTTATGAATACATGCATACAAGACCGTACAGACCGTGTAGTAACAGGAATGTCGAATGCATATGGAAGAATCTCTGGCAACTATGAATGTCAGCGTGAGTATTCCAATAGTATAAAACGAATTATGATCGCCACTGAGAAATGACACTCGATATTCCGATACGATCAGCCGATTCGTGATGCCAGGGTGAGTAATAGCGCAAAGCGTTAAGGCGTCGGTCTATATGTATATATATGTGTATATATTATATATACACGGACACACACAGACGCACGCATGTATACAGTGTCTTGGAGAAGGTGTGTGCCAGTGGCAATTTTCCTTTTCTCTCTTCGAGAAAGTCCAGGTCGATTTTTTTTCTCCAAAAAAGTACAACCCTTAAAAATTCCATATATTATCTTTTTAATTTAAATCTTCGTAAATTTAAAGCATAATACGTGAAAATAATGAAAAGAGAGTTTCTTTATGTAAATTGCATACATATATAATGTATGTACACTATCATTCATATATTCAGGAACGTTTGTAGTTTTCTCGCATCTCACGAAAAGTTAAGTGTTATTTAAATGAAAAAAATTGTACACAGAAGTTTTCAAAAATATATTTCTAAAAGGAGAGATAGAATTGTAAATTTGTTTTTCTTTGTTTTATTTACACGAAATTTTGTTTCTAAATTACAAATTTCATTTTCCTAAATTACAAACAATTGAAAATTAATATTTTTAAAAAATATTTTTATTTTATTTTGAAGAGCAATAACTTAATAAAACATCATCGGACAAAAAACAAAAAAGTATTTAAAGTAGACTTTTCAAGCTTTAAAAAAAATATAATGCTCTCTCTCTCTCTTTTTATAGTGATCTAATTTTATCTGTCAAAATTTTTACAAAATATGGTTTAACTTTGAAATTAAAGAATTTACAAAAGAAAGAAAGAAAAGAAAAGTTTACTATAATGTTCTCGATTCACATAATTATACTTTCAAAGATACACATTAAATAATCAAAGAGAGATTGCATAAATATATAACGTATTTAAATATTCATTAGTTTGTAAAAAATTTATTATTCAACAATGGAAAAAATAGTATACTAAGTTTTTGCGTTTAATCAATTTTTTATAATTAATGTTGTACTTGTATTTTTCTTATTTTCGTATGAAGAATTTATCAGAATAAGAATACTAATTCATCCTCTGTCAGAAAGAAAGCATTATATATACATCTATATGAGAAAACTTATTCTTTCAATTTGAAATGCTGTTTACAGAGAATGGGTTGTTCTTCTTCTAGTACAACATGCAAAAGCCAAGAAAAAAGAACAATTTTTCGCTAAGAAAAAATCGACGCAAATTACTCAAAAATAAAATTGTCACTACTCGCACACTTTTCATTCTCCGAGCACCCTGTTTACGCGCGCAAAATAATCGTCATAACTATAAAGGGGCGCGTACCCCTCGTCCTCAATATCGCACTGCAGCCCGATCCACATAATCCCGGCGTGGCCGATACCCCGCGGACCGAATTTCTTCGGATAGCAAGCTGTTAAGCAGACAAGCGCATCATATATAGTGAAAGTGTAGAAGCCGAGGCGGGATTTCTCTTTCTCGCGTGCTTCCCATCTCAGTCCCGACTCTGAAAACCCACCCATTGGCGTAGCAGTCACTCTGCAGGGCGCCGCCACCCTGGCCATAGCCATAACCCTTCGGTCCGAACCTCTTTCCATAGCATACTGCAGACAATATCGATTAAAGGTTTCACGTCGCCTAATGTTATCTCGTGATGATAGTCAGCGACGAAGACATAATCGTACAGATACGCCAATGCAATTTTTTATTTTTCTCCAGACTATTCTACATCACATATCATATTAATTTATCTATGGCAAGTAATTTCCCATCCCTGAATTTATTCTTCGTATTAAATTCATAATGCAATGTAAAATATTGAAAATTTAATAAGATTAATATATTTAGAAGAGATTCTAGAATTTTTTTTTCAAGACATTTTTTTAGAGACGGCACATTTAATAAAATCTTGCATATTTCATTGATTTACGTGCAAGATATATAATAAATATTATTTTAATATTAAACTACTATAGAAAAAATATTCCTTGTATATCTCATTTTAACAACATTTAGAGATTGAATCGATTTCTTTAAGACGCGCAAGAGCTGAAAATAAAATTCTACTTTCAACAGCTTTAATTCTCTTCGATACATTTAATGATAAATTTTAATAAATATTCATATAATATTCAGCCGCTCATGCGGAAAATATCTTCATATGCATTAAATTAAATTAATTTTGTACCGCATTTTGCATATTTTGTACGTTACGTTTTCATACGCGCGATCGTACCGTGTCCTCACCTTTGCAATAAATGTCCTTGTCAGGACCTTCGCAGCAGTTGACGGAGTCTAATCTTTTCGCGCAGTTGGCACACTTAAAGCATTCCCTGTGCCATTGCTGCACGAAATACAAAGGATGGGTTAGTCACTAAAAGTTCCAAGGAAGGAAAATAATATTGTACAATATCATTTTCTTGTACAATCGTTCAGGAGCGCAGACATTAAAAGCTCCTTATAGCTCGCCAAGATTTGTTACAAAATTCGTGTGGCAGTAACAACAAATAATACTACTGTAAATCTGTATTCTTTCTTTAATGTATTTATATCGTTCCAATTGTTCTTATAAAATTCTTATAGACCAGCTTACTGAAAACATATTTATTTTTAATTCATATATCATTTTTTTATAGAAAAGTTCTTGTAGTAGTTTTAAGCAAAACTGAAAATATTGATGTTTTATAATATTTGATGAAAAAAAGACACGTTATTAATACATTTAATAAAGTATTTCAAATTTACTGCAAAATACTGCAAATTCTTTAAACATTGAAAGTTGAAAAACCAAAATTTGTTTTGATTTTATTCTCCATTTCTCAATAATATTTTTTAATAATAAATATCTTTATAATAAATCTGAAATTAAAGTTTTATTGATGAAACTTTATTTATCATATTCATTTATAATCTAGTTGTTTGAATAATTTAAAATTTAAAAATTTGTTAAATTTTCTTTTATTTTTAAATTATTAAATAATACTTAATACTAAAACTTAGTACTAAACTGATAGCATTTTCGCTAACAATATTTTCCGTAATTTGATCTCTATTTCCTGTGGTAGAGTGGTAATTCTGGAAAACGGCAACCTAAATTCGTTCGGAACAAATAAACAGCTATTCGCACGCCTAAATAACAAAGATGAAGAAAAGGGAAATAATAGAGTAATCGATAATCGATCCTTCTTCTGTGACACTGTGCAGCCCTTGTACGTTTGGGCTGTTTCCTGGCGGCGGAAAGAGTTTAACTGAAAGAGTTAAACTGATTTTAGTAGGTAACAACAACAAGAAAGACCAAGTAAGAGCGGAAACAGATAGAGAATGTAGACAGAGAGATAAATACGTTCAGGAGATGATAATCGTTCAACATTTTCAGAACACAGGACTGTCAGTACGGATATCTGTACAATAAACCGAGAAAGAATTAAGGAGCCATAAAGGGGATTGTAAATTTGTTTAGATGAAAGATACCTCTACAGTATATCTCGCGATCGGGACCATCGCAATGAAGCGTCGAGTCCAGAGTGCGGCGGCACATTTTGCACTTGAAGCACAGTTTATGGTAAGCCTATCGCAAGAATGAAGATTGACCAAAACGATGGTCTAATGGAGTTCGACGAGACATTTATCGGTGCTATTCTTGGTGCCGCGACAAAATCGAATATCCTATTTCAATTTCTAGAATATTTTAAGACAATTTTAGTATCTCCCTTAATTCTACAACGGCGATATATCGAAGATTTCAAGTTAGAGAATCCGCGTTAAAAAATAAAATCCGCGCAAGATAAAAATTTCATAAAACATATCTTATCACAAATTTCTATAAATATACGATTCTTCTCATTCAAGAAAAAGCGGACAGAAATTGCATAACCGAATTCTCGCGCAAGGAAGCGATTTCAATACGCCGATGAGTCATATATGACGAGAAAGATGGATTGCCATCGCCGTTTTCGCGCACGGATATTATTGCTGGACCAGATTGTCGGTCAGTAATTAGCCTCCATTTCTCTGGTTCCGCGTGGCGCTCCTTCTGGTAGCGAGCCATTTTATCGGGCCGGCTAAGATTGGCCGGCCAGTTGGGGCGTCGCCAAAATCGTTCTCTGACGAAACCGAGAAAGTTTCTGGGCTAGCACCCTCAGTCCACAGAGAACGAATACTCCTCCTCCTCCTCCTCCTCCTCCTCCTACCTTTCCCATTCCTCTCTCTCACTATTTTTTTCCTCACATTGTTATGAAATGGAGATTGGATAAGATTACGGGGACGAGTGACGCGGCCCATTACCACGCGCCGCGTGCCGAATTTAGACGCGCAGAAGCCACGATGCGCCGCGTTACCGTTTTGTAATCCACGGCGCATTTTTACCATCCAGATTTTCCGAAATACATGTGAGTAAGCGCGACGAAGAGGATGCCGTTTGCGTCAATCTGTCTGTCGCCACGTCAGCAACCGATTTTATTGCTTCGCGTGCTAAATCGCACTACAATCCCACGAGCCACCCTCACCCGGGAAAATATTCGCGGTTCGAGGCTGACTCGTCCACAGGCATCGCAATACGTACCTAGAATACGACCCTAATTCAAGGAATATATTGTATAAAAAGTTATTTTCGACTATCATCTGCTAATCTAGAAGTAGATAAAAAATCTTGAGAAATCAGTTAAGGAACAAATAAAAGCCATATTTTCGTATTTTGACTTCTGAATTAAAAATTGAAATTCTAACCTAATTACCTAAAATATAATATTTACATTTTATAAAGCTAATCACATAATATATCCTGAAATTCATTTTCTTCAACTATCTCCATAAGTAAAAGATTAAGAGCTTACTCAATATATCCAAAGGTTAATGGAAGAACTGTACTTAATTGATGATTGAGATATATGCTGATTCTGTTTTAATTTCTAAAACGCACGAGCGAACGATCAGTCGAAGCACCAAGGAAACTTCTATCGTTGTGCATTTAACGCTAAATGCAATCAAGTAATTATCACACGTCAGTGCTATTCAAACAGTTACACTTTGGTGCTAATAGGATTTCTTAATTGATTATTTATCAGTATTCTTGTTGCATTTAGTATTAAATGCGCGCCATGTATGTCTATCTTCAGAATAAACTCACCCTTCCTCGGGCCAACATCTGCTCTGCAGCATAAACGTATCCTCCGCATCGAGGACATCCTTCTCCCTCGGGTGCCTTGGCGATAGCCCGAGGCTCGAGAATAGCATTCGAACCTCGCGAAAATTCACCCCTAAAAATTAAATTTATATTAGAATCCATCAATAAAATTTATACAAATTATATATTAAGGTTTAGAGGTAAAACGAATTATCTTATTTGATATCATTTTTAATAAATATTTATAATAATTTTTTCATAAAGCAGCTTTAGAACTAAGAGATGATATCTATTATTGATTAATTCGTTTTATCTGATAATTCAATATTTAAATATAAGCATTGAATACGAAAGCCATTAAATACAAAAGCATTTAGATAAAGGAATTGAATGAAATTGATGGTTCACACATAAAGTAATAAGTATGATAATTACAAATTAGAAGTATAATAACAATTGAAATAATTAATTGGATTTTCAATCTAGATTTTTAAAGTCAAAGTAATATGTGAAACATTTAAGTAATTCAAATCTAAAAATCTACATGTTTCGGAAATTGATTTAAATATATAATGTTAGAGATACGTAGAAGAAAAAAAACTAAAAAAACTGAAGCTATACATAAGGGAGATTTATGATACATATAGTTGAAAAAAATATTTTTGCTATTAAAACAAAAGTGTAATATAATTAATATATCAAGGTTTTTTTTTAAACGAGCAATTATAGTTAACTCATAAAATAAAGTTTGTTTTTAATTAAATAAGTACAATGCTATAAAATTTTCAAACGTTTCGACTTACAAAGTCTTCCTCAGTGTAATTATGAACTATTAATAATTATTAATAGTACTAATAATTAATAAATACTAATTAATAAATACTATAACAGCTAATTAGAGATTAATTCAGGATTAGGATTTATACGTATCTCATTAAATATCAATAAAATACTTTGCAGAAAATTATAAAAACTTACGGTGCGTGTGTATAAGTATATAATTGGAGAAAATTATTAAAATATTGTGATCCGTCAATTCCACGTCTGAATACTACTAGTCTATAAAAACATATAGCGCTATCAAGACATTTCATTCCAACAAACATCAGAATCCTTCAAATAATCGGATGCAACTGTATAAAAACTGTATAAAAAGGAAATGATGCTGTATTTATTAAAATTCAGTACGATATCCATAAAATTGATATCATCATGTTGCAAATAATGAAAAAGTTAAATGCACATATGTCTATATGGATGAAATGTTATTTTTTATCATATCATTGATAATGAATTAACTTTAGAAAAGTATTTTTCGAAAGGCTAATTAAACAAACACATTTGTTTAATTCACCTTTCGAAAAATTAATATTTTTAAATTTATCTGATATGTAAAATATCTACATATGGATCAAATAGAGACTTATCTAAACTTTTCAAATTCTGAAATATACTGCAACAAAATCTTATATAAAGTCAAAACTTTCGTTTCGATTTTACATTAATAATTAATATTTTCTTGCATTACATTTGATTTTTGTTGAAGACATCGAAGAAACTTGTGTCGGATGGATTGAAGGTTGGGAAATAACGTAAACATAAATACGCCAAATAGTCAATAATCAATTACGAATTAGTTCGTTAGGCAAGTGTTAGTCAACGTGTTAGTGTAATTTTTCCCCTTCGCAACCACGGTACATGGCTTCCGCCGAGCCCCGAGAGAAAAGAGCCGAGAAGCAAACTGAACGTAATACGGCATAGTTGTATATCAACAAATAATATGAATATATAAAAAAAAATAGGAGAGATAAACGGAGAGAGAGAGATAGAAATGAAGGAATAGGAAAGAGAAGAAGTGCTGCTGTGTCGGGTACAGTGTGGAGAGCCTATGCGTGCGTACGCACGCATCCGTACCGTGAGGTGAAATATCATCGATACAGTGAGGTGACACCGATGCTGTCTTTCTTGTAGCGCGACAATTGCGCTCTTAAGATAGGTTTTATATTACGATATAGTGATGTATATACAGACCCACATTTATCACATTTGGTTGCTGGATTCGTCCTGATAATCTAGACCAATCCAAAGAGGATATAGTGTGCTTGATCACTATGTGTCAAACTTAACAAAAAAGAAATGTATTATGTTAAAAAATTTTGAATATAAAAAATTAAAATAAAATTGATCCTTGAGGTATGAATAATAATTAATAAGAATATTAGGTGGCAATACAATAATTTTTTTTACTTATAAGTTCTTTAATTTGTACATATCTGATTGAATCATTTTGCTACTATATTTAAATAAAGATTATTAAATTAAATTAAATTTTAATAAAACTTCATTCGTGAAAATGAAATCATTTTTCTTTTAGATAATTTATAATTTAACTCTTGTAATAGAATTTTTATATCTTTTGAAATATTTTATTAAGGAATAATTCTCTCTATATAAAATTCAATGAAAAGACAGCTGACTGGGGAATTTGAGATATCCTATTCTGACACAAAGCATGATAAGTGCATTTGCAGTCTGTGAACGCGCTTCTATGAAAGAACATAGGCGACACATATAAAGATTTATCTCAATGACATTATCGTCGCTACTTTGCGACACTATCGTTGTCGAGAACAGTGTTGATCGCCATTACCTCATTATATCGACATAGTACGCGAATACACTAACACGCACGCGGGCACGCACGCACGCACGCGCCAGCACCCACGCAAGTAGTTAAGGTGTTAGCGAGATTATAAGATTAGAAGTGGTGCGAGAGAGGCCATGCAGGAGAGCTACGTGTATATAAGCTACAAAAAAGAAAAAGAAGCTGCGTCACGCGGCGAAAAAGAAAAAAAAAAGGAGAAATAGCGAGAGAGACCCAGCGAAAAATAATTCATCGAATCGACATCGATTGATTATATAAATGTCGATTTGACTGAATATTTCTGCGGGAGAGAGAAAGAAAGAGAAAGAGACAGCGAGATGTGAGAGAGAGAGAGAGAGAGAGAGAGAGAGAGAGAGAGAGAGAGGTGCAATTTGACTCGATGCTCACCATTATTCGGTATTTTCTCTTTATCACGCAGCTCATATTATGTGATAAAGTAACAACGGTATATTGTTCAATGCTTGCCTCCGGTTGGCTCGTGCTCGGCGGGGCTGGCGGGGGCGGGGTGTGTCATGTGTTTCTTTTCTCTTATTTTCGTTTTATAAATATTTTTCTCATTTTCGTAAGCTTCGTCTCCTTTCTTAGCAAAAGAGTCTGAAGAGAGGAAGACGAATGGCCGAGGATGCGAGTTTCGTACGCAAAGGCTCGACGTTATAGAAACAGAGAAGGAACGTGCAGCGATGTGTACGCTTCAATAGTCTACTTTCATGGATTCAAAAAGTCGCGTATCGTCCCGGTCAAAATCACAGTCATATATTGAAAACGATATAATCTCAGCGAGTTCATATTTTAACGCTATGAATATATGAAAATACTATTTCTATATTTATTTTATAAAATAACTTTCCACATTCATAGCATTCAATCAAATCTTAACTCCTCAAATTTATATCAGTTTCAATATTTGATGACAATTCAAAATAGACTTGCGCGATAATTTATATTGATGATTTCGAAACTTTGATCAAATTCAATTATTGACTCCATTCTGGATTTTTAAAAGACACACTCGCTACGCACGTCATTCGTACATTGATCTATTTACACACTGAAAGGTAATGGGAAAACGTTTGTTATATTCGTTAATGAAAAACACCGCTTGGTTGTTTTGTTTTCAGTTTTATCTTTCCCTTTTTTCCACTTTTAATGGCACTTATTACAGATGGTACAAATGATCCTACAAACTAGCGTATGTATTCGCAATAGAAGAAAAAATAAACATAGAAGAAGAAAGAAAAGAGAAAGAGAGAGAACAATTCAATCGGACGTGACGATATTGGTCGGTCACACCAGGAGACGATGAGGAACTGATTCAGGAGAAGAGTTAAACGTGAATTTAACTAAATCGAATGTCGATGCTGCACGGCGATAATACAAGAAAATCAGATAAGGATGGATCCTTTAAAAAGGATAGAAAGACGCGATGACATGCTCGCTTACAGTGATAATAGATTTCAAAGGTGGGAATAGAACAGTTTGGTCCTAAAAGATCATCTAGATTCAACTATCAGGACACAAAGAACCGTAGATCTAGATCTAATTCGTACGAGAGAGAAAAAACAAAAAAAAAACCGAGGCGGACAAGATTCTCTTTTCGTCATACATCGAAAATTTAAGAGAAAAGGGAAAACGTAGAAAAACGCGGTTCACTCTGTCGGACACGCTGTACACGTATACGTAAACGCGTGTTCTCCGGCATCCTGGAGTTTGCGCAGGTAGCAGCTTC